ATCAGTGACATCACGAGAAGACCAACGAACACTGCCACGGGTATCACTGTTAAAAGTTGAAAAGAAAGTAAGGACATTTAGATAACAAGATGGGATGAAGAGTACGAAGGGGTAATCCCCTATATAAGTTTTGGTCTTAAGGTATTCCCTCTCAGGTTATTCCTGGATCACTCCTGGTTTCAGATATTTCAGCAGGAACGAAGCTAAAGATATAGTTATTCAGTACGCAGATTTCGTTTACGTAGACAGCAAAAGACTCCACGAAAACACCCGCGAAACCCGTGTGGCAACGTTATATGCAGGAGAACTAAGTACCAAGTCTACGATTAAACTTTACAGAAATTATCTTGGGGATATGGCCAACGTGGGAGATTAAATCTCTTGTAGAAGATCGATCGATATAAATTTTCAACTACAAATAAGAATACCGCTCGAGATTTGCTTAGAGTCATGCCTGAGGAGGCAACTTCATAACTACGTTACAATAAGTTTATAAAAATATATAAGCCGCTTGTAGCCAACTACTTCTAGAAAACAACAGCAAAACATTATAAGAGGAAAAGTGGCTACGTCTAAATATGTAATTCATTGTCTACTGTACTGTTCGGTTAGGAATCTCCCTCGTTCTCTAGTTTACATCCACTTGGTGTTTACTATTTTCGATCTTAGGCAAGTGAAAACTGGAGTCTCCCGGATGACATAATACAGCTCAAACATCTTACGGAAAGCTTTAAAATAAAGGTATTCAAAGATGTGAGAGCATTTATTTCAAGCTAAGTACTAATCATGATAACAATCCTTTGGTTCAGAATTTCAATACATTTAAAACATACCTGCTAAACGTGTATCAAACAGAGGATCTTTAGTCAGCGGAGCGTCGTTTACTCTCTGTAGAGGCGTGCGTGGAAACTCCATGAAACCCTCTGATAGTAAAAAGAAAAAAAAAAAACTGTGTACAGGCATTCACTATTTAATGGCTGCAGTTGTAAAGGCAAAAAAAAGATTTTTACTTTTTCTTTTCTCCAGGAACTAGAGAAACTTTAAACCGATGCTCTGTTTCAATGTGCAGCGGCTGTTTTCTTGATTTTAAAATTGTCTTATCACGTTTATATACGACGACGTTTTCTATATGAACCTCTTACCAAGCGAGCGCGAGGGCTGTACTGGCAAACATGGCCCTGAGGTCGTGATACTACGGATCGTGGGTAGCAAGGTCTGTACTAAAACGACCGAGGGTCAATATTTCCAAGTACGGCTCGAGCAAGCTAGGTCATTAAGTAGTTTATTATATGGCACTCGGGCCATGCTTGTTTATTGAATTTGCCGGCTTTCGAAAACAGCAAATTCACGATTTTAGATTGTTTCCACGGAAACGGTCCGTATGGAAAAATCCCGACCAAGATAGAGCCAATCCGAACGCTCGAATTTACCTCAAGACTGCGACCCTGCCTTATAATAAACTCGAATATTGAAGCATCGCTATCAGGTGAATCTAAATTTCGACATTTGAATCAGTTGTGATCGACACATTTGTATTTCGGTCAGCGTTGCTATTCTATTACGGCAGTCGAATAGAATGGCAAAAGTTCGACTTCGATTCGATTCAACTTTACATGCGTTAATGCATACATACGATACGATACGATACGATACGATACTTTATTTAACGTGGGGTTTACGGATACATAATCTACATAATCTAAGTTATATTTTACCTTAAAAATTTTGTGTCGAATTAAGTTAGACGCCATCTGGTTTGACGTCTGAATCAATCGTCATACTTAATTATACTTGAGTCGGCAAGTTGGGAACGTATAAAGTTCGGGCCTTACTAACCGTGACCAGAGAATAATAATACAAAAAAGTAGACATTAAGACATGCTACAGTACCTCCTTTGTCACATCCATACAGAGCTAACCGCATGCAGGCAAACTGTCCGGTGTGGTTCACTGGATGAATTCTGATAAAGTGAGCATTGGTGCTATGGAGACTGACGGTTGTCGCTGAAACATCTTTGTTGGCTTCAAACTGAAAAATATAGTGGGGTTCAAAACGTTATTTGGGATTCATAAGAAAATTTAGTTGGCCCAAGAACCGAACAGTAAAGCTATGATACTTTTGTCAATAACCAATATNGCGCCAAATCCCATAATTTCTCAAATTTATTTTTTGTGACGTCACACTTTAGGACTCTATTGTACTTGTACGTCGATCAAAAACTACATCGCTTGTGCTCATGAGGAAATATTATAAACAAAGATTCTCTTACAGCCAAGCCGTCTCGAACGAAGTCACTATTCCACATTACTAGATAATTAACTTTACCCTATCATCTTTAACAGTGTACATCCAAAAGCAAAATTGAATCGTCTTACTAAACTGATCAAAGTAAGACCTGTACTTACTAATTTTGTCTCGCCTTCTTCAGTATATTCGACAAAAGACGCCTCGTCAGTGCTGTTACTTGTTGATACATAATAGCTTTCAACCCATAAGTTTGTTGTTTCATCTTGAACACCTTCGGTCTCAATCTCAGTGATATTCGTTAAGTATTCTAGAAGAAAACAACATTTTACACTAAATAAACTGCATTTTCTGCTCTTTCAGACTTAAACTTGTTTTCTATAATCGATAAAAACAGGGAAGTTTTTGTTTTTCTTACTTGACACTTGGTAGAATATGTCAGTTTGGGGTGGGGAACGCCACTTCAAAAACAATGGGTCTCACCAAATTTTCGTCGAGTTTCACTAGTCTCGCAGTCTCATTTGTTTTGGTGGTTATTTGACTCTCGCAGTCTCTATATTTTGCAAGGCCAAGAGAATCTCGAAGTCACGAATGCCGTCCTCTGATTGGCTACGCTACGCACTATCTATTCTGTGATAGATAGTGAGTAGCGAAGCAGTGTGCCCTTGTCAACAAAATAACGGCCGCTTGTCGTTTTCAAAGTGTCTGTGAAGAGGATTTAGATAAAGTTTTGAACGACTAGTAGATTTATACTAAAACAGTTATATTATTCGCTCTCGATTTCTATGCGTGATAGTTAACTCCGGCTGCGCCCTCGTGAACTATCACGCGATAGAAATCGAGAGCGAATCATCTAGTTGTCATCTAATCAGCGCGCTTATTTTCTTTTGGCTATTTTCTAAAGTGACTTATCATACGTGCACGAGTAAGTAACTTGCCATATNTTTTTTTTTTTCGGGAAAATTGGAAAGGGTTGATAAGAAGCTCAGAAATAATTTCGCTGTAGAATATCATTTTCCCTGTACAAGTCAAATGTACCAAGAGTTTACTTCTTTACCATTCCTCTGTCAGCTATGTGCTGATAACTGTTAAGAAGCTGAGGACCGACAGAAAACTAGAAAGTCGGCAACAGGTACTTTAAATTTAAGAGTGCAACATTAAACGTTCACCTTTCCCAACGTTTACATGACAAGTAATTTCCAGCATCCGAAAAGTGTTTAAAGTTATTTGTTTGTTTGGTATTTGAAAGCTCGCTGAAAAAACTCACCAAAGAACACTTGGATGTAGGGTGCAGTGTCAGTTTGTGATGAACACCAACCATCCTCCCAGCTACCGATAACTTCGATGCCAACCCTCGCTCGGTGAGCCGCGTGGTTACTGTCTCTCTGCGATGATGCCGAAATGTACTTGTCTGGGACTCGACGTGTGTTTGGAGTTTTGAGACCCAGTTCTGTAAGTCCACAACCTGCATGGCAAATTAGATCTTGTTTTCCTCTTAAAGAGAATCTTGACTGAGACGCAGTTTAAGTTTCAAAGTATACCCAATGGCTCTCTTTAACTGATCCTGGGGTTTGTTGATATCTCTTTAAGTGGTTCGAATACGAGGAGTTGAGTTTTCAGTTTAAATCACCTGAGCATCGCCACGTTACTTTATGGTAATTTATGACGTCATTGTTTGGTCAAGGATATCAACATAGGGTCTACAGAAGAAGATTTCTCGTTGGAACTGCACATATTCACTCGGAATAAATCTCTAGATTCACGCAATGCCGAATTTAAAGAAAAAAACGTCCATTGGTGCAATGACGTTATAATTTCCCAACAAGCTTGCAAAAATAAACAGGGCGGAGCGAGGGAAATTTGAATTCCCTAAAATAGCAAACGTGAAACGCTTAGAGGAGGAGTCAAAATCTTCAAATCTTCGAAGCAGTTTAACACAAATACCAACTTGACAAAATTCCCATTAGAAAAGGCAATCAAAGTGAGAAATAAAAAAAAACTTGAATTAAGTCAGAGTCGTGAATCTACATAAAGTTTAAAAGAAACCAAGAAAATTGTAACGGCAAATCGTTTTAACCAATTCCTCGTTAGTTACATATAACAAAGGTTACCATACCAAGCTCACACCGGCTTCCATAGAAATTACGTGGACAGACGCAGCGGAAATTCTGACCAGTGTTGATGCAAGTGCCACCATTTAAGCAAGGTGAGGAGCTGCATTTGTTAAGTTCTTGCACTAAAGGAAAAAGTGAAAAAGAAGAAGAAGAAGAAGTCAGTTTTGTGTTTAGGTCACAATTGTCTCACAGTTCCTAGACGATGAGAAAATGTTTTGATTGGCGCATTCCTGAATAATTGAGTCCTTGATTTTCTTCTCTTTTCAAAGAAATCTGATAAATTCAGTCGAAATATCGAAGCTTATAGTTAAATATAATCTAGATAAACAACAATGAGGAGATTTTCTGTAATTTAAGTGAAAGTCAGCAATAATGTAAAATCTAAAATGACTAACACATGCTCACCACAGATATGTTTATGGTCTTCATGTAGCATTTCAAACTTCCTCATTGGCCAGCAAAACGCTACCAACAAACCAAGTTAAAGAAAGAAACATGAACAAGGATGATTTCAAATTTACAACAACTTACATCGACAGACTTCCTTTTTCAACTTGCTGTTCAAATCTCCAAGATCTTTAAACGATGTTTCATATACTCGCGTGCCATTATCACCAGTGATCAGTTTCAGCTCGTCGACGTCATAGTCCTCACCAACCCCTATGGTGAAAATGGTGACGTTCTTTTCGCGCAGCAACTTTGCTGGTGTTTTCACCAGATCGTATGAAGCACCACTTGCTAGGATGATGAGATAATTCAGTTTATTGTTTTGAGTTGCAGAATCCGAAAACAAGTTACGACGAACGAAGTTTAGGGCTTTTCCAGTTTTCCTTCCACGGCCTGGATAGGTAGCCATTTGGACTGCAGCCATTGCATCTGCAGAATTTTTATGTTCCGAAAAATTAAACACTAGGTGAGGATCTTCGGAGAAAACAACCATTCCAGGATTTGTTGTATTATCAGATACATCAAAAGACGCGATCAAGTTGGCCACGAACTCGAGGGACTTGTTGAAATTTCCTTCACCGCGAAGTTCCACGGTTGCAGACCCATCCACCATGAAACCAAGGTTCATGTTGTGGTGATCACAATCTATAGTCAAGAGAGGATAAAAGGTAGGAGAGTTTATTCTCAATAAAGGCCTTATTCTCAAGGCAATTCGGATCATGCTATTTTTAGACAACCCCTTGACTAAATCAACAAAAAAATAAATACCCGGAGGGTCGAGATATAACCTTTTTATCATCTGTTGCCATGCTTAAAAGACTATAAATATGGGTTGCACTTATATAGCGGTCTGCAGGCAAAAAAATAACGCGATGATATCTTGGCTAACCATCCCGTCATAACGTAGCTAAATTCAGGCATTAAAATGCTCCCCCTTCGTGGTACACGTTTTAGCATGAAATCTAAGCGTGAAGATTAACAGTTTTCCTTAAGGATGTTTTCTCTTTGTAGATAGTTCCAGTTTTATTTGTTTAGATTATGACAACGTTGTTCAGTAGCCAGTTTTTTTTTTTCCTGAGCGGAGAAAAGCAGTGTGGGAGAAAGCTGTCTATGCAAAGAACAGAACACAACAAGAGTGCCAAGCACTCAAACGCGATACTCTTTTTCTCTTGATCCACAATCCCAATGCAGTTACCATTACGCCGCCCCCTTCCCCAGACGCAGGAACATCGCTAAAACCAATTATTTTTAATTAACCATTTCTCTCTTGTAAATAGCAGATTTTCAAACTTACGCATTTCACAGTTGTCTCCAGCAAACGCCAGCGGACACTGACAGTAGTAGCTTCCATTTGTGTTGGTACAGNGGAATTGTTTGGTTAAAAAGGTCCGTTCGTGCCACATCTAAGGCTTTACCAATGTTTCTTCCACTGCCGCTTATTGTAAGGGTGTCCAGAGTGTTTTCCAGGTCTGTTTGGTTGGTGATATCCTCAAATCTGTATCTGACTGCTGCATCACCAGCATAAGTAATGATGCCAACGTTCGTATCGTTTTCCGAAACATTGAACGTTTTGGAAAGACCTTTGACAAATTCGATTTGCTTCACAAAGTTCCCGTTGTGATATTGGTCAATGCTCTCTCCAGTATATATTACAAAGGCAATGTTGAAAATGACTCCATACTCTATAGACAGAAAAAAATAGAAAGATATTTACAAGTACATTAACATTGCCATTAGATTCATTCTTGGGGTTTATGTTTGTCTTTCTTTTTGTCTGTCTGTCCATGTTTTGGTCCGTCAAGCAAAGACACCCGTCCGTCCATCCGTCTACCTGCCTGGTTGTCTACCTGTCCGTCTGTCCGTCTGTCTGCAAAGCNTCCGTCCGTCCGTCTGTCTGCAAAGCTCCCTGTTTTACGAGATTGTCAGAGGGAACTTAGACTTTTTTGAAAAAGCTTGTAGCTAGTTTGTATAGATAAGCAAGCCATTTTTCTCGTTTGCGGGAATCGTTGGACTAGTTGTCGACAACTACGGAAAATCCGTTGTCAGTGGACAACGGGGTAGACTCTTACGTGAATTTTTAATTTCATAATACAATATTGTCACATAATTCTACTTTATTTCATATCATTTTTAAATTCCTTGGTACGTTGATTTATTTCATTTTAATGTAACTGATTTAGTAGTATTAGTACTGAAAAGCTTCCATGGGGAGTGCTAATAAAATTTGTATTGTATTGTATTGTTTGAGCCTGAGCATGCGTAGTGAACGTTAGCTCTCAAAGCCTCGCTGACCTGACTTAGACCGACAACCAACACTCCGACAATTAGTTGTTGATAACATTTGACAACAACAACAAGATTCACTTTATTCCCAAAATAGAAAAACTCTGGTTCTCGTTTAGTTGTCGAAAAGAGGTAGTTGTCGGCAATTAAATGTTACATGCAAGTCTGTGGAGGCCATAAGAATAGCCATAACATATAGAGCCTTATTTACCTCCACTACACTGATTTTGAATTTCATAGTTTCCTGGCTTGCAGTTACAAAAGAAAGTTCCAGGAAAGTTGATGCAGATTTTGTTCGCGTTTGTACAAGATGATGAGGACAAACACTCATTGATATCTGGAAAAGAAAGAATAATAATAATAAAAATAAGAAATCAATGAAATATATCAATTTCACCCTAAGATCTACCTTTCTTAATCACGTTCCAAAACGGGGCTCATTCGGCTTTTGTTTTAAAGTTTCTTTCAATCTTTATCCTCCAAAGCACGGGCCTGTTGAGAGCTTTGTGCAAAACTACAGTAGGTAGGTGTAATTCATTCCCCCAATGATATTTTTTGGTTTGTTTTCTTGTTTCTCTCCTTTCTTGTTCGTTACTCTCTTTTTTTATGGAGACATCAAAAAAACAAGCAGACTTTTCAAACCACACAAACTATGAAAAACAACATACCATGCCAACTACTTTTACAAGCTGTCTTCCACTGATCGATACGATAGTCGGCTCTGAATAAAGTCAAGCCACACGATCCACACGATCAGCGATGCAGATCACGTAAAACCGTCTGACATATTTCGCGAAATACTCTGGTGACTGCTAAAGTAACTAATCAATAGGCCATTTAAAAGTTACCTTTTGCCTCTGTTTCAAAACCGGAGTCTTCGTGCGAAACCTTTCTTCTAAAAATGTGTTTCCCCTGCAGGTTCATTTTCATGCAAATCAAACTAATTTTCATCTGAAACGTTTTGCACGAGGACTCGTTTTGAAAGAGAGGCACGAGGTAACTCGGAAATGGCCTATTACGGCCGCTCACCAGACTGGCAGGTTAGTCCAGTAAAACCGTCCGGACATGTGCAGACAAACCTGTCCAACAGACTGTCACAGGTTGCTCCGTTGTAACATGGACTGCTGAAGCAGTGATCAACCACTAGAAAGATAAAGCAAGAAAAATTCAAGTACAAACATTAATAAAACTGCAAAGCATTTTTCTGTATTTTGAAGGCTTGGCGCGGTTTGCAGTTTTCTGTTCAAGCAAACTTGCAACAAATATAATATAATTCTTACATTATCTGAATTGCTAGGGTCGTTGTTAGAATAAATTTAAAGGTACAAAACGGGAACTCATAACAAATAAGGTGATATAGAAAAAGCCTGACTAGGATTCCAGTCATCGTAATGACAGTCAAGACGTATCGGAGGAAAACAGTCGGAAAAAGCAAGTATGGAAATGTTCATTGAGGCCAGAGGTAGTAGCAGATGGTTTCAGAACGCCTCACAGGAATTCTGTCGGAACCTCTAATTATTTAAGGTGGCGATGACAACAGTTTGTTGCACTTTCCTGTATGTTGTTAACGACAACCTCTTTCTCTCAGTTGATGCTACAAAAAATGATTTCAAAGTAAGACACCAATCACCTCTTTTCTGAGCAAGTTCTGATCATTTTCCTTACGTAGTCACTCGAAAAAATAAGATGGCTCTGAACCTATCAGAGAATATTTGAAACCCTTCATAAAGCTGCATCTTATACTGTGGATCACAATTTGATCAAAAAATCCGGGGTCACTAAGTTAGGTTTTTTTAACTATACGCACTTAAATTGAGGGTGATTTCAGTAAGTCTACTATCGCTATGGCAACTTGCCACGTTAAAAAACTTAAACAAACAAACCAAAACAAACAACAACAACAACAACAACAAAAAACGTGTCTACCAATGATTGGGCATTCGCTCGATATCGTTAATGTAGCATCAGCTGGGAAAGAGTGGTAGTAATAACTGTTTGAAACTACTGCCAGCCAATGAAATATCACATTACCATTGCATATTGATGCCTTGATTCTGGTCGCTAAAGTCGGCAACATGTCATAAGACGACGCTTCAAACACGTAAGCAGAGTCTGGGTCGTTCGCTATTTCATCTAACTGAGGTTTGGCGTAGAAATCGCCGATTCCGACGGCTAGGACGTAGACATCCATGGCTCTGAAGAACGCAGAGGGAATAGAAATGTCATCAATAGACACACCATCCATTAAAACGACCAGGAAGTTTGGTATTCCACTGCGACCATTGGCGAAAAGCTCATTACGAACTGCTGTCAAGCCATTTCCTGCTCTTGTAAATTCCCCAGGAAAGACAATAGCGTCGATGGCTGCATTAACCTCAGATTTGGTATAATATCTGTCAAATCGAAATTCCGNCAATCTTCTCCATCCTTAGCCATCCCTGTTTCTTTATGGTTTATTACTATCTCTTTAATGTTTTCCTATCTTAGTAAAATACTATTTTCAGGTTTCCTTGATCATTTTAAAGGTAATTTTGTACCTCGCCAATATAACTCACAAATGCCGTGACTAAGCTCCTTTAACAGTCACGAAGCAAATATGAACTGGTAATCAGTCTGACTAAATTGAGTTCTCTGAAAGATGATTCGTGCAAATCAACGGCGTTTCATGTATTTACCTCCATACACGATCTATTACATGTGGGTCTGATATCTCACCTTTAGTACAGTTTTCTCCAAAGCGATCCTCAGGACAAACGCAGTCACGTGATCCAACTCCACTTAAGCAGATTTCTCCTCCAGTGCATGGGTTGCTAATGCTGCATTGGTCGACGACTTAGTAGGACAAAAAGCCACAATTTCATGACTATCTGGTAATTATTACGGTATAACTTTGCAACAATGTAAAGTGGTAATAATTGTCGTCAGTAGTCTTCATGCGTGAATGTCAATGCAAATGGGGAGAGTTTGTTTATATATAAACCTGCATGTAAAGGAGCTATGCCAAGATATTTTACGGCGAGGACACTTGAACCATGAACATTTGACATTTCTTTTCGCATTTTTCTGATGATTATCCAGTGAAGGCCAGTCATATTGATATCAACGAGTGGATTAGCGTTTTATATTGTAGAACTGCAGTAATACGACTAGCACTTACCAAATTCACAATTTTGTCCTGTAAAATTTGCACCGCAGTCACACTGGTAACCTTCCAGCATATTAATACACGGTCTGTTATTTCTGCAAGGATTGCTGAAGCAATGATCCACAGCTGCAGCAAAAAGAGAAAACTGAGTTTTCTTTGTTCTATGTTGCGAGCCTTTATCTGTTGAGTCTTCATGGTTACAAACGTGGTTAACTGTTAAAGACCCTTTGCAACAGCAAAGTACAAAATTCACCATAATGGATGGTGATGGAATACGAAATCCTCAAAAACAAAGTTGTATAGGCAAGTCAAGCTTGAGTTTCCTTTGTTCTGGAGAGTCTAGTACGTAGTTTGCTATGCATCATCACTTATATTGTACCATTTTTGACCGTTTCTTTATAAAGAGCTATCTCTGTATCATTGTGGACGTGTGTGCACCAATTCATGTAGCAGGATGGCAGAAGAGAGAGTATATATCGAAGTGTGTGCATTAACAAGGTGGAAGGGCTTCACTGTATTTCTGTTGGAAAAGGGATAACTATTTCAACAGCAAAAACAACAAAATTGTCGCTGTTACCTTCACAGATCATCTCACGGAGTCGCCAAGTAAGACTACCAAGTTCGTCATATGTGGTCAGAAGCGTGGTTTTTGAATCAGGATCGCTGGCGATGTCATTGATCTGCTTTACATCATACCAATCTCCCAAGGCCACTGCTAATATTGTTACGTTCATCTCACGGAGTAGATCAGATGGAACTAAGACACTCTCGATTGACGTTCCATCGGTTATAACCACAAGGACACGATGCGCAGTTGCTCGACTGTTGACAAACAGTTCCTCTCTGGTGAAATTTAATCCTTTCCCTATGCGTGTCCAGCCTGAGGGATAAACTAAATTATCCAAAACGTCGTTTGTTTGACTTGGGCTAAAGGAAAAATTGGCTTTCAGTTCTGCCTCCGTCGCATAGAGAACAATTCCGATGTTTGACTGTGAGTCGTTGAAGTACTTGGTCAAATTTTCCACAGCGTTCACGATCTTTTCGAAGTTATTCTCTCCCCATTGATTAAGGCTGGAGGAACCTTCAATCATGACGGCAAGGTCGATCTCCTTTTCACTACATGCTGTATAATAAGAGGCCAGAAGGGAAATATGACCCAAAAGTGTCAAAAACTGGCATAATACAACTATTCATCTCGAAGCGAGATAACTTATTAAGGCGATGAACACTCTGATAAAGCACCCTTTCGCCTGAAACGTTAAGATAACTGTCCAATGTTATCTTCAAAAGTGCAGTACGGACCAACAAATCCACTTAACCAAAGATTAGGCATGTCTCTTTTGAATATAACTTTTTTTTTCAATTGGGGAAGCATGAAATCAATTACGAAAAATGAAGTTTACAGCCTCTATGTTTCAACTTATTCCATCTAACACATCGAAGGGGAGGCACGGTAATGGCTAGTGCGTCGGACCCCGGTTCAAGTCCTGGCCGGAGTCATCGTGTTGTGTTCTTCGGCAAGAAACCTTGTTGAGATAACCTGACAGAATACTGGGGAGAGAGCTGCGCTGCACAAGCATCCCCCAGGGGGGATTAGTAATACTCCGGTCCTAGGCGTCTCATGCTACGGACACCGGAGATAAGCATCGAGAGCTATAAGTCCTGTGCATGTAGATGCTGTTCTTTTTACACATTGAATAGATTGGGATAAAGGACTAATGATATGAAACAAATAACAATACTAAGTAAATAAATGTACCACCATATTAAAAGTAGCTCATAAAATTTCAATCAATGACTTACTTTTATCGCAGTTTTTTCCTGCAAATCCTGAGAAGCACTTACAACGGTAGTCACCCATTCTTTCTTGACACACTCCATGCTTGCAAACGTCAACTGTTCTGGAACATTCCTGAATGTCTGCAGGAACATCGTACAGTCTTTAGCTGGTAGTCCCTTATTACGCAAATCGATTCACAGAAAAACCTTGAAACAATTGGCTTAATGCTTACAGAAAGGAATCAGCCACAAACTATTTTAAAAGTTACCTTTCATTAGGCAATGTCTCATTATTCGAAAACTTTCAAGTTATTTATGCGTAAAAAAGTACCCACCTTGATCACAGTTGGTCCCAGTCCAGCCCATGGGACAGGTGCAATAATATGCGTTCAGTGGCAGAACTTGACATGTCCCTCTATTTTGACACGGATTAGGATTGCAAAGGTCATTTTCTGGAAGTGGAGTAAGATCATTAATTTTCCACATTTTTCCACGTAGAACAATAGTAATACTGTGGTAAGTGAACCAGTTAAAAGAGGAAAACAATCTCTTTAGATGAATTGTGCAGTTGGAACAAACACTCTGCGTTCAGTGACAGAGCTTGACATGTTCCTCTATTTTGACACGGATTAGGATTTCAAAGGTCATTTCTTAAAGTGGAATGATATTACTAATTTTACTCATTTTTCCACGTGGAAAAAAAAAAAATAGTAGCACTGTGGTAAGTGAACCAATTTCTTAACAAACACTCAAGGTATTTTAGTCATCCAAGGTGCCTAACAATCGATCCAAAATCTTTGTGTTGTTTGATCTACCATTAACATACACTGTAATTAAATTCATCGAAAATAATTTTAGTGAGGATATACTTCCGTGGACTCGTAATGATAATTGCACCAATTAACTGTAGAAAATAAGAGAGTCAAATAACAAACGAGGTAGCAAGAGTTGACAAACACCACAATCTTTCAATGGTGTAACTTTTCAAAGCATCTTTTAAGGAGGCTGCTCTTTCCCTGGGTTTAAATCGGGTCAACTTTTTACTGCGATGTAAACGATGAAGTCGAAAAGGCCGCCCTGTACGTGATGGTATGACAAAGTTCAAGACTGACAAAATCAGAATAATGCTTGATGTGCTACCTTTGTCACAATTCCTTCCTGAGAAGCCAGCTGTACAGTTACATGTGTACCCTTCTTCAGATTGAGAACATGAGCCGTTTCTACAAGGATTACTGGAGCAAGGATCAAGTCCTGAAATAGTATTAACAAGCCTGTGAGTTACTGGATTTAACTAATTTTCCAGCTAGTTCACAAACTCTGTTGAAAACCATAACATTCTTTACATGTTTCACTAAATATAACTCAGCGCCGTGTTTACAATTTTGTTTTTCACAACAATAAATTTGTACAAAGCATGGCTAGATTATTAAGAAGACGAGCAAAATCACCGTACCAAATAATAACAGTGTTAACACAGTAAAATACGATACATTTAAAAAAGTCTGCATGGGCAAAGTTTGTTTGTTGCTTTTGCTGAACTGAAAGACACCACGATTGTTGGCTATAGTCATCAAATAAATTGTTTTAAGACAACAACAATACTAATTAGAAAAAGTTAGCAATGTATACCTATTGCTAGTGTTTTTTTGAAGGAACTCGTTTTAAGCGCGAGATTCTCCCCAGCGATATAAGTCACCACAAAGCTACTGTCAGGATCTGAAGATATCTCCCACAACTGACCCAAGCTGTACTCAGTTCCTACTCCGATGATATATATGTTAACTTTGCTGTTAGTAAGTAAGCCATGAGAAGGGACCTCGATGTCATCCTGTGACTTAGAAGCCGTAAGGACCACTAAAACTCTTGTGGCATTAGGCCGGGCCGCATTTGAGTTAAACAAGCCAGTAGTAACAAGCGAAAGACCTGCACCCATCTTACTCAACCTACTACCAGGGTAAATAATGGCATCCACAGCGTTCTCCAAAGATGATTGGTTGAAATGATCGTCGAAATCAATCACTAGTTTTGGCGTGTTTCCATACAAGGCCACAGCAACGTGAGTTCCGTTTTCAGACACGTTTAGTGATGCGGTTATCGCCTTAATGAAGGACAGGAAGTGAGTGAAGTTGTCTTGTGTTACTACTTGAGACCCATCGAGACAAAAAGCCAAGTCTATCTGCAGATTGCTGCCAATATCTGTAAAAAAGTGAGAAAATCTATGGGTATCAACATAGTAATTCTAAGTTAGATTCTGAGAGAGAAATTAACCCAGAAGTTTTGATACCCTAGAAATTTTTTCGTGGCTTGACTTTAAAATAAACTTATAAAATATACGTCACAAACTTCCTCCGGGGAAACTCAAAATGTCCAGCCGAAATAGGGTGTATTGGAGTAGGAAGTACACAGTTTGCGCACGCCATCACGACGGAAACAGTTGTTTCAAGAAAGGTTGTCCTGCAAAAGCGTAAAAGATCACGCAACAGAGCCGAAAGGAATTATTGGTAGCGTTAGTTTTCAAACGGTTGATCGAATTTCACGGCGTTTCAGCCTGATGGAAGGAAACATAATGAACAGTTGTGTCTGCGATTTTCCTTCCTTCGCGCTGAAACACCATGAACGTCAATGAAACGACAGTAAACCACCTTAGTAAATGGTTTGAACCCAGGAGTTTCAGTAGTTCGTATAGTGTGATCGTCCGGGTGAGGGTAGTTCTGAAAAGAACTGTTGTTGGTGACCGATGTTTCGACAACCTGAACGGCTGAAAGACTTGTGTAAAGTATGACTGATGACAAACTTTACACGAATCTTTCAACCAATACTATTATGGCTAAATTGACTAATCACTTTCAACGGACCAGACTTATAACAACATCGACTGACAAACACTATTCAGTAGTTCGTATAGTGTGATCGTCCGGGTGAGTGTAGTTCTGAAAAGAACTGTTGTTGGTGACTGACGTTTCGACAACCTGAGCGGAAGTCATCTTNAAACACCGGTAATTTTGGATTTGTGCTTGAGAAAAACTCGTGCAGAGGAATATTACGATTATCATAACAACATCGTTTTCGAAAAGCTTCCTCTTCAACATGTTTCCCGTCCACACTAAAACGCAAAGCCGGTGTTTTAAAATTCCCCTGGTTTAAACCCTGAGCTTTATCGAACGCTGCGTTTTCGTGACGGATTAGTGTGAACGAAACGCCTAGCCGGAGAAATAAGGCTCCGTTTTCAAACTCCAACGGCGTTGTATGGACGCGGCGTTGGAATCAAGAGAATCTTTCCACACCCGTTTCTTTTTATTTCCAAAGTTGTAAGTCAGCCGCTCCACCCTCTTGCGTTCGTGTTGGCTCAATTCCCCGTAATTTGAAACAAATTGATTTGTTGCAAAGCTTTACTTTATTCTCGTACAGCGAGTTAACCAATTACAGATCTTTACAATAAAACAACGCATCACATGCCTTGAGGACAGTGGAATTATTTAAATCCACTTACCCTGTTGACAATGTTGTCCTTCAAATCCGTTTGGACATGCGCATGTGTAGTTATGACTCATGGATGTACAGTTTCCACCGTTTCTACAAGGAAAGCTTGCACAAGGATCGACAGCTATGAATTAGATAAAAGGAAAAAACAATTAAGAGGTAACTATAGCTTACGCGGATTAATAATTTTGCACAATTTCGAGAAAGCGCTATAGATTAACGTTCTATCAGTTTACTTACTCGTGTGTCTTGTACTGCGCTTACACTGCATAAAAACGTGTTCAATGAAATCACTAATGAAACATGTTCCATTGGGAAAAGTGTTCACATAAGGCACTGTATTGCGCGAGTTACTTTCAAAACACTTTTATTCTAAGAACGACTGAAATCACCTCACGAGGTAGTTTCGATCTTAGGCAGACCAACGACCTCCACACTGCCGTCAATTGTACAAGGGATGAAAGTAGACGAAGGTCTTTCAAAGTCAGAATCGACCGATGTATTTTCTCAAGCATTGTATTTAATCAAAAAGGTACTGCTCTATTGCAAATTCACTAGCGAGTTTATACACAGTTTATACACTTATACACAGTATTTCCACTAGTTACCCCCAGCTATCGCTCCAGCAATAATTCCTTCCATCGTGTCAATATGCAGCACTAAGCTTATGCCAAACACATACGCTGCCGAAGGCTGACTAGCAATGGAGTTCAGTTGGTTCACGCTGTAACCGCTGCCCACACCAATAGTAATTATGATAATCCCTTTGTCTCGGAGGCCTTGGGATATCTGTGTGAAGTCGCCGCTTAGCATTCCACTGACGAAAACAACACACACACGTGGAACGTTCCGCCTGCCTGTGGTAAATATGGTGTCGTTGACAGTTTCCAGGGCGGCCGAGATATTTAGAGATGTTTGGTTTAGATAAGGGATACCGTCAATGGCAGTTGACGCGGCAGAAAAGGTGTAATGTTGTGTGAAGTTAAAGCTGACGACCACATCGCTTGCGTAAACAACAGCGGCTACGTTAGTCTGTTCCTCGGAGATGTTGTAAGAGGACAGAACGCTTTTTGCAAGGAGCAGAGTTCGTTTGAAGACTGAATATGTTATGTAGGATGAGCCATCACAAAGAAACACGACATCAAAAACGTTGCTCAATATTGCTGAAAGAGATAAGAAATCTCTACACTTACACAAAGATATTTATTTCTTTTATTAAAAAAAGGTAATGTGAAGACATTAGGTACTAAACAAAGCCTGGCAGAAATTGAGTTTGTTGTTCTTCTTTCGCTCTCTTAACCTTCAACCAATCGCAAAAAAAGCACAGACAACAAAAACTGTTGCAAATAAAACCGTCTAGCAAACATATATAACTGACGCAAAGCGCGGGAAAACGTGTGCGAGTAAGTGGCGATTGCGTTTGGTTCTACTTCCGGTTGGATGACAAAGTGGTGCCAATCGCTTAGCACGGCGATCCAAAATCAAATCTAATGGAAATTACTCTTGATACTTATTTGAAAACAGCTGAAACTCACACTTTGCAAATCATTAACTACGCGTATTTTTTATTTATAAAAGTAGCATTTTAGCCTACCGAATAAAGTACCCGAAAGAAAAATGGAAAAGTTCGAAAATGGAAAATAGGAAAAACATTTTTCTATCACAGCTAAAATGTCGCTGGAAATTTCCACAGACATTTTCCCCTCTGCTAAAATGTTGCTGAAGTTTTCCTTTTACCAGTAAAAATTAACAGTGGAAATTTTCTAGTAATCAGTAGCAATTTTTACCACAAAGTTAAGTCATTTCTTAGCCAAAGAAAGTAATATTTCTAGGTTTTTGCCAAAAAAGATCTATAATCACGAGGCTTTTGCATTTTTTTTCGACTTAAGACAAAAAACAAAAACAACAACAACAACAACGACAACAACAGCAACAACAAAAAACTGACAAAAGTTCTCAAATTTAAACGCTATTTTTTCTTTACAAAAGCAACATTTTAGCCTGCCG